GCGTGTTTCTGTATTGTTTTCTGTATCAGAACTATATTCGCTATAGTGTTTCTCATCTTCTCTCCATTCTACTAATAAACTTACTCAAGCACAATCAAGTAACTGTTTGACATTCAATATACACATCGCAAGATTCACAGATTACTACGATCTTTTTGATTAGACTTCAAGAGCAAATTTCTAACGAGGGAACCATCTGAGGTGATACCTCCCGTTTTGATTCATTCATATCTCATTTAGTTGAGTATATTGAGATAGTAAAAACCTTAAAGAGGATTTTCCCCAATCTCATTCCTTCAAAAGTTATCGACGTTTTCCTATTTTTACCCTTATACAAGATGAAAAATTTTTTAAATGACAAATTAACAAAATAAGTCAAAGAGATCTGAAAGTTTGACTATATATGGACTATTTTAGTGTGGCGTAGTAGAGGAGTGTATCTGTTTACTAGCGCCTTCTGTTATGTGTTGATATAGCTCTATATAAAGGAATACAATACTACTAGTGTCTTTTTTCTCATATCTACAAGTACCGTTGCAGGCGGCTTCAAGAGACGCCGAAAGTCCAGAGCAGACACGGAGTCGAATTGACGATCAACGTGCAAGACAAGCAGCCTCCAGAGCAGTCGAGACTCCGGAGCAGAGACGGACTCGGAGTGAAGATCAACGTAGACGACAAGCAGCCTCAAGAGCAGTACATTGGACATTCATGGAAGGGGAAGCGTTGCGCTATGATCCAGCTAACAACTACGACAGCCATCCTCAACTTCATATTGGACAAATGACCGATGTTTGCTCATACTGTGATGCTCTCAAGTGGCCTGGAGAAGCACCAGGTATGTGATGCTCTGGTGGTAAGGTGAGGCTACCAGCACTTCGGCCTCCTCCGGAACCACTGATGTCAGGAACAACGTCTCAGTCGAAACATTTCCTGGAGAACATTAGAAAATACAATTCCTGCTTCCCGATGACGTCTTTCGGTGCCGCAAATGAAGTGTATGAGCCAGGTTTCATGCCCACCTTCAAGGTGCAGGGTCAAGTCTACCACCGCGTGGGATCTCTGTTGCCAGCCTCGAATGAGGAACACAAATTCCTTCAAATTTACTTCATGGGTGACGAACGGCAAGAAGCAAAGCAACGTTGCAATAATATTCCTGGCACACGACAAGATATCGTCATGGAACTACAGCAGATGCTTCATCATGACAACAGCTTTGTCCATGTCTTTAAATCTGCGCTTCAAAGAATGCCTTCAGATGCGTACAAGGTGGTCATTCGAGCGGACAAGAAACCTGCTTGGGAGCATGCGCGACGCTTCAATGAGCCTCTGACAAATAAGGTGGCGATCGTCATCGCTGGCAACGAATTCGACAGGCGGGACATTGTCTTGATATGCCGTTTGAGTTCAAGCGTCTTCAGTTTCCAGTACGTCTTGCCTTCGCGATGTCCATCAATAAGGCTCAAGGACAATCACTTAAGGTTGCTGGTATTAATCTAGAGACTCCTTGCTTTTCCCATGGCCAACTTTACGTGGCGTGTTCAAGTGTCGGAACTGGAAAAAATTTATATATTTTTGCTCTTGATGCGAAAATCAGCAACATTGTATATCAAGCAGCTTTGCAATAAAAATTGTTTTTCATTGGACAGTTTCTCTTAAATAAAAGTAGTTTTATAAAGAAAATTGAAAAGGAAAAAGATATTTATGAAAATCTTAAAATATCAAATACTAAAAGTTGAGAAGGAAAAGATCCAAGCGTATTGTGCGATATCCCCGATCGGTAATCCATAGAACACCATAGCGACGTCGTCTTCTCATACGTCAAACATGTAATATCAAATTATCTAGTGCGACATCGGGTACTCCCGCTAGTTATCTATAAAACGAGGAAAAAAATAAAAGAATTGTATATATATATGCGTCTTATTTGCAAGAAGGCTAACGAAGACACGCGTATGAGTGATTCTGATAAAAATAGTACCGTTCGAATGAAGTAAATGGTCCCAAGCGTTTCTTTTCTTAGCCTTGATGAATCGCTTTCGGACTTCTCGCATACATTCAACAACGTTA